TCACAACCGTAAATAAGCTCACAATTAGCAACATTTTAAAACCGAAAAATACCCTTTCTTTAATATAAGATTTAAGGAAGGCGTTATTTTCTATCAACCAGGAACAAGAAACAAATCTGTTGTGCATGTCTTCCATAAACATTCTTTGTGAATCTTTCAGATTTAGACAAGATATTCCCAATACCACAATAACTATGAAATTTACCAACTGCTACACTTCAATTCAAGGTTTACAAGTATTATGCTGTTAACATACTTCTTCAGACAAAAAATGTTTTTTTCTACGCCTTCTGGAAGAGGTCAACTTATTCCCATTTATGAAACCGTTATTGCGCTTCAGTTCAGAATCCAGTATTCTGTAATAGCAATTAATTCAGAAATAATTGGGACTGTTATAATGGACGTCGAGATAAATGATGCATAATTGCTCATTGGCCAATTAAAATGTGCTACACACACATCCCTCACACTATCATCAGTAGTGAAAACTTCATAGAAAAGCCAATATATATCAATGGCCCATTGACTCGGCGATAGAATGGGCTGTTATAATGGGGGTTAGATTTTACAAAAAGCTTTAATGTTTGGAAAAAAATAGTATTGTGACATGTATTAGTGCACTCATGTCATGCCACTTCCCTACCTGAATTACCAATCTCCGATTCCTCAGGAGAACGATCATAGGTATAAGTCATTTCATCTGCAAAATGGAGAGGCAAGAGTGTTAATGAAGATGTGATTGAAGGCAACCTACCCACAACCCAGCAGCCAACATTACCATTTACAAGGCCACTATTGTGCAAAATGGACATGACCATTTTGTTCGTCATGCTAGAACCCAGTTTGCTGTAATTATTCATTATGTCAGAAATATATAGGACTGTTTTCATGGATAACAAGATGTATTTCCGTCGCCCGCCCCACTACTGTTGCTCTGCTGCCCTCCGGTACCGCGTCCCATCGGAAGGCATCGAGAAGTAATAATCAAAAAAACTTGGCTCAACA